CCGGAAAAACATATAAAACCTAAAAATCCTAAATTTGGTAGTGATTAGTCTAAAACTTTAAACTTTAACCCTAAAAAATAAGTTTGGTTATTACTTTTTTACATCTCACCTTATATTAGATTGTTCATCTCAGAGGTTATGATATGTTAATGTTTACAATTTGAACTTTTTATAAATCAAAATTTTCAAACAAATTGTAATATAAGTTGATGAATCAAAGCGTTCTTTCTTTTGCAATTCAAGTTTTTTACTTTCTTGTATTATTAATAAACCTAAGTGATTTTTTTTAAAATTCTTTTCATAATGCATGACAATTGAATTTGATATATTCATTGCTCGCGCCGTGTTGTATCTTTTTTGTTATCTTATGTTCGTGGTTCTCTTTTTAAATATTTATTTTTTATTCAAACAGAGCAAGTTCAATAAGTGAACCGTAATTTTTTGATACTATATTAGCTATGTTTTTAATTATTATTTTTTATATCAGTTTGTTTTACAAATAGAAGAATTTAAGTATTGTTCATAATTAAATTATATGCCTAGCATGCATATCTTAGAGATCGAATAAGATTTATTAAGAAAAGTAATTTATTCTCAAATTATAATTCCATTTTTGATTTTTTTTAAAAATTTTCTCCTATTTTTGTGACTTTTAATATTCAATATTTTACTTTTTGAAGATTTTTTAATTGGATTTTCTCCATTGCGCATATATTTTCGAGTAGTAGCGTATTAGGTATATGTACCAAACGAGTCTATGTGAAATATTTATTAAATAAACGTATATAAAAATGTTATGAGTAGAACCGAAATCGAATTGGAACCGATGATTCATGTTTCGGATTTGGTTCCAACATTTACAAAGACCCGAACGCTGAACGGTTTCATTTAGGAAATTAAATACCCGAAGTATAATGCGTGGTTCTAGGTATTGAAATATCCGGACCAACCCACCCGATGCCCAGACTTAATTATTTTCGTCAATTTAACATAATATATAAAACATCTTAATAATTTAGTGTTCAAAAATATATTTGTTAATTTAACGACGTTATGATTTAGTAATTTATATAGTTATAAAATAATTAAGCCCTTGTTTGAGCCTCATTTTGAGAGGAAAAATGAATTTTTGAATAGTGTATTGATTGGAAATGTGTGGTTAAAAAATAAAGAAATGTTTTGGATTTGCGTGTAATATTATTTTATTGAAAAATGTGTGATTGAAATGATATTAAAATACTGTAGAAGAATTCATTTTTTTCAAATAATGGGGATCAAACAAGGGCTAAATAAATAAATACATTGTCAAAAATCGAAAGAATGAATAAAATAATAAAATAGTGTTCATTTGGTGTAAGTTTTGATGTAATGGTTAGAGAATAATTTTGATTTGGTGTAAGAATTGATGCAAAATTTGATGTAAAATAGTACAAATTTTGACGAAGCAATGAAAATAGTATAATAAGTGGTGCTTCTCTTTACTGTCCCTCCTAGTTTCACAAAAGCTTCCCCATCTCCTTTACTCAAGAAGCCAATGAAGCATTGCATACAAGCCACAGATATAATATAAAAACAATGAATATTATACAAAAAGTTAACCACAAATGCACAAATGTCCACAGTATTGATGTTACCCGTGATATTGATATGTAAACTTTTGAATAGTATTAGGCACAAAACTACAAATGAGTCATTATCTTTAATTTTCCTAAAGGAAAAAGGTGAATATGAAATAATTCTAAGATTCATAGATCAAGCCATAGATCAAGCCATGTTTGGTGACGAGAAAATGGCGGTGGCCTGCCTTGGTGGTGGCCAGTCAGACGGACTGGGAACCAATTTTGAAGCTACACGATAATTGAAACAAATTTATTGTTCGAGAAAAGTCGTGTTTATGTGGCAAACCCTAAACTTTATTACAGAAGTAGATCTACCTAATTGAACTTTCACGAACTGCTTCAGTTGACTTATAATTTGCACCTAGAATTAGCACATGAGACAGCTCAGATCAGTGAGTAAAAGAATTAACAATTATCCAAGATCTCAAGTTTTTTAATGTACAAATCTATAAAACATCAGTTTTTTAATTTTTCTCCTTTTTTATGCCATAACCATGATGTTCTTCTTCACTTATAATCTCTCTCCCCCCTCTCTCTCGCAAGAAGAAGAGCATGGCCTCAGCATCACACAGTAGAAATCACATCTTCAAGAAGGAGAGATTAAAGAATCTGTTTAACGCAGCTTCGGTATTGTTCTATACTGTATTTTTCACCGTACTTTTCAGTTTCTATCTCCTTTACCATCCAAGAAGTACCGTCAACTACACAACAAATATCAATCAAGAATACAATCAAACCACCGTCTTCACCCAGCCTTATAAAAATGGTAATTGAAACTGATAATCCATTGATTTTCTTTTGACTGATGAGTTTATTTTGAAGAGTTTATATATGATTTTGCAGATAGCAGAAGCTGTAACTTGTTTAAGGGTCAGTGGATTTTAGACGAGAGAGGTTCTTTGTACACGAATTTTAGCTGTAAAACGATTCCTTACAAAAGAAACTGTTTTCTCAACGGAAGGGAGGATAGAGATTTTCTGCACTGGAGATGGAAACCAGACCAATGTGAACTTCCTCGTTTCAGCCCGGAAACTTTTCTTAGTACTCTTCGTGGGAAGAAAATGGCTTTCATCGGTGATTCAATAGGCCGGAATCAGATGGAATCCCTTTTATGTCTCCTGTCAACGGTTAGTGCCTGAAAACTCATCTTCTTTTACAATAATTTAGAATTAAATTGGATGAAGGTATGGTAGGAGCATGTTTGGTAAAGAAATTTAGTGCGGTCAAAGTAAAACCAGAAAAAGCCCGATTCAGACCGGGCACGACCCCAGAGAAGGGGGGCCCGCAGGTTTGGCACCATGACCAATTGAGGGCCTACAAAAACAAACAAATTTTGTACGAAAAGAATAAGGGAAAAAAATCATATTTAAAGTGTATTGTTTACATCAATTCAAAAGTGAGGTAAATAATTTAAAAGTTCAAAATTCATGTATATATATAATTGATTAAAAATATTTATTAATTATATATAATAAAGTCACAAATACATAAGTAAATGTTACATTTTATTTATTGGTCACATATTATCGAATTAATTAGTCACAAATTATTTCGAAGTCACAAGTCAAAAATTGTATAGGTTACAACTTATTTTGAGATCAGAAATAGAAAATTTTATAGGTCACAGTTTATTTCATCGATCACAAATCAAAAAAATTATAGGTCACATATTATTTTTAATTGGTCACAAATTAATTTTCAATCACATGTTATTAAATTTTTAAGTCACAATTGAGTAATTAATCACAGATGACCAAATAATTGGTCACATATTATCACCACCAACATTACCCTCAATTGTGATCACCCTCTCCCTACAACCGTCGTCGCTACCACCACTACCGTACCACCACTGGATCCAACATCCCTGCCAACATCTCTACGTGCACAACCAACAAAAAACCACATAAAATCCCCCAAACAACACCAAAACGACCCCCAAACCATTGCCAAATTTAATAAAACACAATCAAACCGCCACTACAACCACCGCACCACCCCTGCAAAACACCATCCAAATCTACCTCAATTGTCAAATCCACCACCACGAAACTGCCGCCATACAAATACTATCAAAACCAACGCCAACTGCCAAATCTACCACCACAAACACCTTCACCACACAATCACCACAAAATGCCATCCAAACCTACAAAATTGCCACCACCCCAAACCGTTTCTACTTCACGCTAGTGGCGTGCTTCGCCTGTGAAGAGTAGTCGAAGTGGGTAGTCTTCTTCGGGGTGTGAGTTCAGCGTTTAACTTGTTGATGCGTTTTGCTCCTCGCTCTATGGATCTGCTTCTTTAAGAACTCACAATAATCCACCATCTATGTGACACCCCGATCTTAGGCTTCGGGGGTCACGTACTAAACATAGTAACTTCTGCCTTTGGTACATGTAAATACTCTTAAATAGAAGTATTACATGTTATAAAACTAATTTCAATTTGGTAAAATATCTCTCATGAAATTTAATGGCCAGCAGAAGTGCATGTCGACGTGGAATTAAACTTTAAAAAAAAAAGACTCGGTACTGCCACAGTTAGTTAGGGCAGCAAGTTCAACTATTTTTATAAAATTCATCCCAACTCCGTTTTCTATGAAATTTGCGACATTAGAAAGATAATTTCAAGTAGTTTCCTAGTTTAAAATATGGGCTTTTTCCGAGATCATATAGTATGGACGTTTTACTGAAAACAGTGTAGTGTTGCACAGAAAATTCAAATTGACTCTTCAACGTTTAAAAATTCATATCTCAGGCCACAAACATCCAAATTGAGTGATTATTCCTCCCATATTTAGAAAACTCAAAGAGAAACGCAGCAGTATTTTTAGATTCTCAAATGAATGTCTATAGAGTTAGAAATAATGTTTTGAAGATGACCCAGAAACTGCCCGAATTCTGCCCTTTTTTATCATTCAAGAAAAAGGTTGATAAAAACGTCTCTTAACATAACATGGAAGATATAATTACATAATTTACTTCCGTTACCATAGATCATGTCTTATACAAGTTTTTATACAACACCATAAGAAAAACATTTGGAGAGCGGTCGAACAAACATGCAAAAAAAAAAAACTTCGATGCAAAATAACCTTCGTCCTTAATCCATCATCGATTATGCCGACTGACTTCCACCAACTTCACATCTATGGATCTGAAAATTTAGTATAGGATACTATGAGTATAAAGAATACTCAGTAAGATACCATGCTTGGATTTAACATGTTAATTTTACACAAAAGAATGCAATCAAACACATACTTGCACATTCCGGCTTGCCAGTGCCCTTCGAACTTGTCCTAAGGTATAGATATCTAACTTTGTGGACTTGTCCACACATTCATATTATGGTTTTTCATGCATAGCTTAGGCATAAATATTACCATGAAATCCTACCACTTAAGCATCTCGGTCAAGTGGGGAAAAAAATCTTTAGTAACTAGGTGTAAAATTTGATGTTTAATCCCAAACCCCTATTTAACTAATTTGGTAAACTTTTAATAAATCAACCAATGAAAATTTAGCAACCATTAATAATTTTGGCCATATTAAATTTTGAAAAGTTTAATTGCTATCCTAAAAATTAAATGAGCAAATTAAACGTGCATAAAATTTCGGAGTATTACAATCTAAACCCCCAAAATCGCGCTGGTGGTCTGCTTCGTGCTTGGTGGAACTGCTTCGCCGGATCAATGTCGTCGTCGCTGTGAATTTGACGGTAGATTGTTGCCGTAGGCAGTGGTCCACCATCCAAAACCACAAAAGCGCGCTGGCGTTCTGCTTCATGCTAGGTGGAACTGCTTCACCGTGTCAACGTCGTCGTCACTGTGAATTCGACAATGGATTGTTGACGTAGGCGACGGTCTCGGACAATGGGCGGCGACGGTGGAGGTGTCGATCGAGTGGAGAGAGTGAAGAGAAAAGATGGAGTGACGTGAATTTAGAGATTGGAATTAGATTAATGGGTTGATATATTTTATTATTAATATTAATAGTAAAATCAATACCTGAATTTTGAACAAAAAATCTTCCCCCTTAATTTTTACATTGTGATCTTTAAATGTCTAGGATTTTGTAATTATCACAAAGAATAACGTTAAAACAATAACAAACATGGTTGGTGTGCCCCTTCTAGGCCTGGCCCACATTGTGATGGCCTATGGGTCAAGACAGGCCTGAGCCCATAAGTAGAACCTTCTAGGTCCATTGACAGCCCTGATAACATAAAAGTGTAACTTATTTTCGGAATATTAGACAGTATTTTCTCTCTTCAGTTTTCACAACAAAAAAGTTATCGGTAAGCTACTATTGCTCTTGAAATATTCGAACGGTCATTGGGAAATGGCATCTACACTTATAAAATTAAGAAATATAAATATGGCTAGCTGGTTGGCACATGGTTTAGCAACAACAATAAATTAGCCCATAATATCAATCACCCCTTACTTATGACGGAGAAATACCGTGGGAACAAATTCAACAAAAGAAGCAAAAAAACCAAATAGCTATAAGGGTTCAACACAAGCAAATGAAGCTGGCACTTCAACCTCACAACTTTTGCCTAATATTGAGGACCCAAGCTTATCCATGCGAATACTACCTTTTAACAATATTGGAATTTGATCTAGATGCACGTACATCATTATTCTAAATGGAGTAATTGTGTTTTTTCCTTGTCCCAATATCTTCGTCAATCTTAAATGGTGGAAGATCTATTTCTAAGTCCCACATTCCTCGTGAAAAGCCTTTTGTATAAGCACATCGGTAATATTATCGGTGAGTTATGTCTATAATGCTCATGCTTGTAACGAACTATGACAATATGCATAAACTAGTGTAAAAAGTTTGTGATTCTTTGATCTTAACTGAATATTGATGAAACAAACAATATGAATTTGAGTGGTTAATGTTTTATAACCTTATAATGGATTATAATCTTGCAGGTAGAAACTCCAAAAGAAGTTTACAAGGATGCTGAAGATCTATTCAGGACATGGGAATTTTCGAAGCATAACTTTACTCTCATGGCCTTTTGGTCTCAATTCTTAGTTACCGCAACTGAAAGAGTATTCAACGGTTCAGCCACCGGAGGTTTTGATTTGCAACTCGACAAGGTTGATCAAAATTGGTCCAAAAAACTACATCTGATGGATTATGTAATTTTCTCGGACGCCCACTGGTTCTTCAGGCAAAACTATTTATACGAGAGCAACAATCTTATAGGCTGCGTATACTGTCAGGCACCAAATGTGACAGATCTCGGGCCAAGTTTCGCCATTAAAAGTGCATTCCAAGCTGCATTTAAGGAAATCAATATGTGCAAGAATTGTAAAAAAATATTTGCATTTTTGAGGACATTTTCACCTTCTCATTTCGAGAATGGTACATGGAATACAGGAGGCGGTTGCAATAGAACTCGACCGATAGTGAGAGAAGAAGTTGTCGGGCGGGATTCGGATTGGGAATTCAAGAACATTCAAGTTGAACAAATTGAAATGGCAAGAAAAATAGGAGAGTATAAAGGGAATAGGTTTGAAATTCTTGATATTACAGAAATTATGGTGATCAGACCCGATGGGCACCCTGGATTATACTGGGGGAACCCATGGATGAAGGGTTATAGTGACTGCATCCACTGGTGCTTGCCTGGCCCCATTGATACATGGAATGAGCTGTTGTTGGAGATGATCAAGAGATAAAAATTTTACCTGCATTGAAATTGTAAATTTGTATTTGTATAAGATCTATCTCTCGTCCTTATTTTTATTATTATTATTATTATTATTATTTTTTTTCGCATAGAAGGATAAACATATGCATCTCCTTTCTACTTGAAACTCCAATACTTTCTAGGCAATTTTCCATAAAACCTCAAGTGCATGTTTGGTGCAGGGTACTAAATTTTATAATGAACATGACTTCTCCTAGTCATCTATCTACAGTGGGAAGTTTTATCTTGTCCATTTTAAAGAGAACATTATTTATGGTTCTCACATTTGGAGAGAATTGTAAGTAAGGTTCTCATGTCATATTAGCAAGTTGGCAATCTTATCTCGAACTCATTATGATATCCAATCTTTTCTACAAAACATGCTTCGAGAGAACCTTTGGAGTTGGACTTCCAATACTGGAAAAGCACAAAATTGATCATTCACATTGTCAATATCATTAAGGGCCTATTTGACTATTCCATTTCTTGTAAAAGAGCTTCTTGAAAATTTATCTTTAAGTCTACTTCTTCTAAAAACTCTTTTAATTAGACAAAAAATACTTTAAAAAATTTATTCAAACATGTAACATGTTCGACATCAATTTCTTACTCTCATAAATAACTTTTAACTTCTTAAAAGTAGGACTGGACATGGTTCGATTCGGTTCGGTTCTAACGAGAACCGAACCGACTCGAAATTTTCGGGTATTTAGTAAGTGGAACCGTTGGGTCCAAATTTAAGTACAGAACCGTTCGGATTCAGTTCCATTCGGTTCGGTTCGGTCCGGTTCGGTTCCGTATTATAATTAAATTTTTTAATATATACAAAGTTACGTTAATTTAATTAATGATATATTTAATATTAGCTCTTACAAAATAACGTAATTCAATCTTATGTGTTTCACGTCTCTCTTTGCTGAATTCTTCATAAATTTGATTATTAAAATTACAGAAAGAGAAAGATAGCGAGCTCAAAATAATTAAGAGAAATGTTGTAGAGTTTTAATTCAATTTTTTCCGGTAGAAACGACACTACAGTAGAATAACAAATTTGGATAAAATTGAGGTCAATTTGATTAAGTCGATTTTGAACTGAATATTAGAAATAGGAAAATCATATTTTGTAGTTTGAACTAAATTAACTAGTTAATAAATTTATTTAGAAAAAATAAAATAATTTTACTTATTTAAAATAAATTAATTTAAAAAATTACGGAGATTCGGTTCTTATTCGATTTTTCGGGTCTTGGCCTAGAACCGAGAACCGAACCATACCCGTCAGTTCTTGATTCAAATACCCGTTCGGATATTTAATTACAGAAATTATGGTGATCAGACCCGATGGGCACCCTGGATTATACTGGGGGAACCCATGGATGAAGGGTTATAGTGACTGCATCCACTGGTGCTTGCCTGGCCCCATTGATACATGGAATGAGCTGTTGTTGGAGATGATCAAGAGATAAAAATTTTACCTGCATTGAAATTGTAAATTTGTATTTGTATAAGATCTATCTCTCGTCCTTATTTTTATTATTATTTTTTTTTTTTTTCGCATAGAAGGATAAACATATGCATCTCCTTTCTACTTGAAACTCCAATACTTTCTAGGCAATTTTCCATAAAACCTCAAGTGCATGTTTGGTGCAGGGTACTAAATTTTATAATGAACATGACTTCTCCTAGTCATCTATCTACAGTGGGAAGTTTTATCTTGTCCATTTTAAAGAGAACATTATTTATGGTTCTCACATTTGGAGAGAATTGTAAGTAAGGTTCTCACGTCATATTAGCAAGTTGGCAATCTTATCTCGAACTCATTATGATATCCAATCTTTTCTACAAAACATGCTTCGAGAGAACCTTTGGAGTTGGACTTCCAATACTGGAAAAGCACAAAATTGATCATTCACATTGTCAATATCATTAAGGGCCTATTTGACTATTCCATTTCTTGTAAAAGAGCTTCTTGAAAATTTATCTTTAAGTCTACTTCTTCTAAAAACTCTTTTAATTAGACAAAAAATACTTTAAAAAATTTATTCAAACATGTAACATGTTCGACATCAATTTCTTACTCTCATAAATAACTTTTAACTTCTTAAAAGTAGGACTGGACATGGTTCGATTCGGTTCGGTTCTAACGAGAACCGAACCGACTCGAAATTTTCGGGTATTTAGTAAGTGGAACCGTTGGGTCCAAATTTAAGTACAGAACCGTTCGGATTCAGTTCCATTCGGTTCGGTTCGGTCCGGTTCGGTTCCGTATTATAATTAAATTTTTTAATATATACAAAGTTACGTTAATTTAATTAATGATATATTTAATATTAGCTCTTACAAAATAACGTAATTCAATCTTATGTGTTTCACGTCTCTCTTTGCTGAATTCTTCATAAATTTGATTATTAAAATTACAGAAAGAGAAAGATAGCGAGCTCAAAATAATTAAGAGAAATGTTGTAGAGTTTTAATTCAATTTTTTCCGGTAGAAACGACACTACAGTAGAATAACAAATTTGGATAAAATTGAGGTCAATTTGATTAAGTCGATTTTGAACTGAATATTAGAAATAGGAAAATCATATTTTGTAGTTTGAACTAAATTAACTAGTTAATAAATTTATTTAGAAAAAATAAAATAATTTTACTTATTTAAAATAAATTAATTTAAAAAATTACGGAGATTCGGTTCTTATTCGATTTTTCGGGTCTTGGCCTAGAACCGAGAACCGAACCATACCCGTCAGTTCTTGATTTAAATACCCGTTCGGATATTTAACTTGAGAAGAACCATCGAGTTCGGTTCTGTTCGGTTCGGGTTCGGTTCGGGAGTTTTGTCCAACCCTATTTAAAAGCTTTGCAAAATGGGCTCTAGGAGGCAGCAATGAGCCGGCTTGCCTTTGGCCCAATAGAAAATAGGACCAGGCTGTCTCCTATGTTAACATGTTCCACGCTACACATAAAACGTGTCAAATTCTTTCCAAGACCTCTCTCTTCTACCTCTTAAAGAGAAACTACAGTAGTTGAAGTCTCTATCATAATGGGGCATTTATTTCGAGTCCTGTAAATCAGGCAACGTTTGTAAATTAGGCCATTTATGTTGGCGAGAAAATCGCGGCTATCCAGCTTGGTGGTTGGTGGAGCTGGCTAATCAAGTTCAAAGCTGTAAAGTAACTGAAAGAAAAATTATCATCAAAGGACTGTGCTCTTTATGTGGTAGACTACAGTTTAGTCTCCCCTCACTTTCTTACTAGAACAGAAGGCATCAGTATCACACTGCAGAAATCAAATCTTCATGGAGAGATCACTAATAAATATGTGCAATTCAGCTTCAGTATTGTTCTGTACTGCAATTTTAACTATAGTTTTCACTTTCTACATCCTTAACTATCCCAGAACCATTACTGTTCAGGAATACAGTCAAACAAACATCGTCACTCGACATTATGAAAACGGTAAGTAAATTAATAATCCGCTGAGTTCTTTTGACTGAATTTGCTTGAAGAGTTTTGTGTTTGCAGTTAGCAGAAGTTGCAACCTGTTTAAGGGTCAATGGATTCCAGACATGAGGGATACTTTGTATACAAATTTTAGCTGTACAACAATCCCTTACAGAAGAAACTGTTTTTTTCATGGGAGGAAGGACGAAGATTTCCTGCACTGGAGATGGAAACCAGAACAATGTGAAATTCCTCGTTTCAGTTCGAAAACATTTCTCAGTATTGTTCAAGGGAAGACAATGGCTTTTGTCGGTGACTCTCTTGCCCGGAATCAAATGGATTCCCTACTTTGCCTCCTGTCGACGGTTAGTCCGACACCCATCTTCTTAATCTCGAATCTAGAATCAAATTGGATGCAGCTATGGCATTGTTATGAACAGTGTCCGATGGGGCGTATTTGATAAAGCAGGAGTAAGTGGTGCTAAGTGGACCACGTCACTCATGCCCATCTACAGGGAGTCAATTGTTCCAATTGTCATTGAAGTTAGATTTATCTCTTTGATTGATCATTGAAATTTAAAATAACGAATTTTGATCATTGAATTTAAGTTTATATCTTCGATTGCTCACTGAAATTTAAAATGTCGAGTTTTGATCAAATGAACTTTGAAAAATATTATACATTACTCATTAAACCTTGAAAAATATTGTACATTACTCACAGTAAACTCGATATTTTTCAAAGTTCAATAATTATGCTAGTGAGTAACGTACGACATATTCCAAAGTTCAGTGGCCAAAACTCGACGTTTTAAATTTAGTGAGCAATCTAAAACATTGACCTAAGTTCAATGATTAAAATTCGACATTTTAAATTTCAGTGACGAACTAAAGACATGGATTAGTGACTATTAGAACAATTAACTCATCTACAAGACCAAAAAGCAGGCCTACACTGTGAACAGGCTGGATCGGGGTTGGAAAAATTCATATCTCATTTAGTCCCTGTTTGAGCCCCATTCTTTTCACAAAAATGAAATTTTGAATAATGTATTGATAGAAAATGCGTGGTTAAAAAAATCAAAAGTTTTGAATTTACGTTTAATATTATTTTATTGAAGAAAATGTGATTGAAATAATATAAAAATACTATTTAAAATATATTTTTGTCAAAGAATGAGGCTCAAATTGGGGCTTAAATTTTCAAATCTCGTGTGATAACTAAATAATTAAAAATATTTTAATAATTAAATATATTAAGGTCACGATTATACAATTAATGGGCATAGTTAGTTAATTATAGATCATTAATTATTTATTGGTCACATAACATAAATTAATTTTTCCTAAATTATTTTTCAGTCACATATTAAAAATATTATAGGTCACAATTTATTTGTCGGTCACAAATTACAATGTTTATAGGTCACAACTTATTTAGCATTCACAGATTTTTAGATATCTTGGTTACAAATTATTTTTCAATCACGAATTATCAAATTTTTAGATTACAATTAAATAATTAGTCACAAATAACTAAATAGTGAGTCACATATACCAAATACTTTACCCACCACCCTCAATCCAAATCCACTACCAATACTTGGTCACAAATCAACCATGTAGTTGGTCACAAACACCTAAAAAGTTGGTCATGCACTCTTCATCTCCGGCCATCGCCACAACCACTAACGCTACCATCAACACAACACCATTGCCGTCGACCACCAACTCCACCATCATCGTCGTCAACCACCACCACCTACCAGTACCGCCAACATCACCATCGCCTCGCCATTGCAGCCAACATCATAACCACCACCACCCAACTACAAACTCCATAACAATTTGCAAATCACCACCAACTACGCCAAAAAACTCCAAATTTTTACCACCTGCACCACTTTACCATCAACATCCAAAACAACGCACAATAGATCGAAGGAAAGGGACACCAAATCACCGGTGCTGCAATAACGACTGTAGCGAGCAGATTTGAGCGCATAGTGTCGTCGCAGCGGCGATGACTAGAGAGTGGAGTTGCCCCAAACATATTAGGGAGAAGAAACTCCACATCCACATTGCCACCGTTCCTAAAACCACACCCGCATTGTCGTCGCTACAGTCATCGCGCACCACGCCAACTAGAACGCGGAGTCGTGTAGTGCTACCACTCACAAATCTCGTTGAGGAGAGAGTGAGAGAGGAGATTCATTTCGGCTTCATTAAGAGGGAGATAGAGAGTGTGAGAGAGAATTGATTATAATGATTTAGGGTTTGAAATTGGATGGGTGGGTGTTGAATTTGTAATATAATTATTAATATTAAAATATAAATCGTCACCTAATTTTTGATTAAATATACATCATATCTGATTTTTGAAATGTGATCATTAAACACATGCTCTAATGTAATTTCCTCTTTAAGCCCACGTAAAATTGAACAAGGTAATGGATAAATTTCATACTCGAAAATATTTCTTCTCTTTCTTTGCAATGCACATTAACAAACAAGCTACATAAGACAAGTTGAGACCAGCAATTGCGTGTCCAACTAATAAATTATTAACATGTTATCAATTTAATGAATCAGTGGTAAAGTTAATGAGATTAAATTTGAGATGATATGTTAGCCCCTATTTATCATCCTTTATCATCTTTTAAAAATTTAAATTATTTGCTATAAGATCATTCGACATATTCATTCACACAATAAAATATTCTACTCATAAACCAATAAAAGTTCCTTACTTTTTAACAACACATCCTCCAAAAAATACTATTCAATAACTCATTATTCTCAAATAAATTATATCAAATAGGCCCTTAATTATTGATGATATGTTAATAATTAATTGGTTCAAAACAAAATTGGACGGCAGATCTCAACTAGTTCTTGAAATGGTCAACATTCATTGATAATGGGAAAGAGTTTAGGCTTCTTCGATATATTAATGAAATATCCAACAAAATAAACCATTCAATAACAATTTGACAGTTTGATGTTTATTTCATCATATATCTTAAGCAAATAATCCTCGGACCTTATGGTGGTGCATAATCTTGCAGGAAGAAACTCCAAAAGAAGTATACAAGGATGCTGAAGATCGGTCCATGACATGGGAGTTTCCGAAGCACAACTTCACTCTCATGGCCCTCTGGTCTCAATTCTTAGTCTCTGCCACGGAGACAATGTTCAATGGTTCAGCCACCGGTAGTTTTGATTTACATCTGGACAAAGTTGATCGAAATTGGTCCGAAAAACTACCTTTCATAGATTATGCAATTTTCTCAGACGTCCAGTGGTTCTTCAGACAGCACTATTTATACGAGGGCAGCAATCTTATAGGCTGCATATTGTGCCAGGTACCAAACATGACAGATCTCGGCCTGAATTTCGCCATTAAACGGGCCTTCCAAGCTGCATTTAAACAAATCAATGAGTGCAAGAGCTGTAAAAACATTTTTACCGTTTTGCGGACATTTTCACCTTCTCATTTCGAGAATGGCACGTGGAATACGGGAGGTGGGTGCAATAGAACTCAACCAGTCAAGATAGAGGATGTTATCGGGAGGGATTCGAATTGGGAACTCAGGAAAATTCAAGTGGAAGAAATTGAAACAGCAAGAGAAAAAGGAGAGTACTTGGGGAATAGGTTTGAAATTCTGGATATAACAGAAATTATGGGGATGAGACCAGATGGGCACCCTGGACTCTACGGGGGCAACACCTGGATGACGGGTTACAGTGACTGCATCCATTGGTGCTTGCCAGGCCCCATTGATGTGTGGAATGAACTTTTATTGGAGATGATCAAGAGACAAACCTATTCCCTGAATTAGAACTGTAAATTTGTAGTTTTACAAGAAAATGCATTTTTTTTTTTTGGCCGGAAACTTCACATTTTCTCTAGTCTACTTTGTAAAACCTCTGATGCATATTTGGTAAGTATTCTTCTACTCTCGATCATCATCCGGGGCTTGCGAGTATTGGATTGTTGATCCCGTGTTTTTCTTATCTCTTTTCGCTGCCTACAACAGACTGCTTGCGGAGCTAGTCTATGCTCTTGACAGTGGTTCGTGGAGGACAGGTTATGATGGGAACCGAAGTGATGAGATTAAAAAAACTCTGTCAACAAATTGTTGACACAACTGATGACCGGACTCATCACTCGTCAGCGTGAAATGGTAAAACGCCTGTTTGGCAGAGAGTGTGGTTGGAGATCGTGCAGCGCAAGATGAGACATTTCGACACAGAAACTCGAGCAATTGGTGAAGAATTTCCTGGAGTTCAAATGTAATCAATGTAAAATTTCATTAACTAATTACACCGAGAGACACTGAATGTTCTTTAAGCTTAAACACAGGCACTACAAGATTGAAATGTGCAATTTGTTAGTATGCACCATCAATTTTTTGTTTGATCAAAACATTGAGATGTTTTAAAAGGGGAACATTTGAATTGGACGATGATTCAGCAACATGCTCTTCCAAATTTTCACCAACTTCTTCTTTCGTTTTTGCCCAAGTTACGATATAAAACCCCATTGATATAATTATCGATCCAATGACACTGCAAATCCAAAAATTGAATATGTAGTTAGTTAATCAAGAATCTTAAAAGCAGCAAGTTCTTTAGAGATAATATACATACCATCCAAGATAGAGATTATCACCAAGAAAAATGACACCCATAATGGCTGCAATGGCAATCGACAATGGCCTGAACAATGCAACATAAACAGGTCCCTTCACGTGTAAACCCCACGTGTGAACAAGGATACCAAATCCCGACCCAACTATTCCCTAATTAAAGTCAAGATTTAATACAATAGATAATTCCTCACAAATCATAAAGTTAATTCCATTAAGCTCTTACCGAGTATATGATGGATATCAACTCTACATTAGGTTTCACCTTCCATGCACTTAGTGGTTCCATAATTAGACATAGAGGTATAGACACTATGCAACTAAATAGGTTGTAGAAAAAGACCACCACTAATTCTGCTGGGTAGTTCTTCACAACTTTAGCCTGCAAAATAGGCTATTGATTAAAATTATGGTACAACGACATGATCAATTAAGGACCTGTTTGGCAGGGCTTGTGCTTTTGCTTTTACTTCTCGTAGAAGAGCTTTGCAAGGAAGCTACTTTAAGTCAGCTTCCTCTAAAAATTCTTCTGTCACATAAAGCGCAATACCAGAAAAATTATCCAAATATATTCCAAAAGCAACTTCTTATTCTCAAAAGCAAATTTTGATTTTTTTAAAAGCCTTGCCATACAGGCTCTAAATCCTATCCATAGTGAACTATGTACCTGATAGATATACCAAATCGAGACCATAACATAACTGGCTGCAAGGAGAACACCACCTATTATCCAATTTGATTCAGAAGAGACTGTACTTCTGTCAAATGAAATTGTAACTGCAGGTGATTTTTGGGTTGCATGCATTGTTATGAGTACAGGTCCACTGTAGAGGATCACCACTAAAGCACCTGTCATTGACACCATTGTTCCTACAATTTTGGCCTGGCTACTTAAGCTTCGCAATGACAACTTCTCCATTCTAATACAATCAGAGCATCAACTCGAGTCTTAGATGTTATCATTAAAGATTTCCCACAGACAATATTCTAAACATGTCTTCACATTTTCCTTTGAAAAACTCGGGTGTCAGATGTTTTAGGGGTTCATATTTACTGGTCTATACATAAAAAACTCGACATCCACAGCAGGATTCCAACTTTGACAGAAAGACACAAATCTCTTTCATGGTAAATCTAGACATAGCAGACGCAATGTGTGTTTCAGATTCCCTCAGTTTTTCCGCACGACCTGATATTTCTTGAGGGGTACTCTTGAGGCCTTTATTCAGGTTGATGTGAAATATCAAGGCATTCCTCAACTTGCAAAAATTCAATAGGCCTCTTGATTGTTGTGCTAAGTTTGGGAGTTGCTTGTGACAAGGGAGTTGGCTAGAGGATCATAAACGCTGACTTGACAGAGTCCACAAAAAAGGGAATTGGTAATAAGCAGGTACGCTGGTCTTACTCTAGTTTGTGATAAGCTGAATTGCAATCGAAGTGCTGTAAAAATCGATGCTGGAGGTCATGGTTCCATTCCAGTTACGGTGAAGATAAAATGGGAGTTTTTAATTTTTGGTAAATTCTGTTTATATTTTTGGTTTTAAAATTTTAGTTGGAGGCTAAAAGTTTTTGTAAACCCAAAAATTATTTGATCGTGACTTTCATTTCCAGTGAATTTTTGTAGGATATGTTTTTCAAGTAGGGATTTTACAACCTTAGCACAAAAAGCTTATTTTTAAGACATTCACAACCTATTCAGCCCCCTTCTAAGTGTTTTATAGTAGATCTGAACAATGTGGTCCCAAATTATTTAATTAATGGAAAGTAATAATCTGAAAAACCTGAAGAGGATGGCTAGGATGAAGGTAGTAGCAGGTGTGAGATTGCTCATGGCGGAACCAAGAGTTGGACTACTGTAAGCGATTCCTCTATAACCCAGAAATTGAGCTATAGACCTGCAAATATATATATATATACATATGTATTTATTAAATATCCTAAATAAATTTAAATTCATTTACCCAATAACTGTACCATACCCAAGAAACCCAAGGACGAAAAATTTGCCCAGAAGACCAACTGTAAATGGAGGAAGGACCGTTTTTCTGCATAAAGTTTTCAGAAAAGTTACAGATAATTGTATGAAATTCCAAATAAAGAATTGTAAGGGCTTAACCTGTGGAAGATGTAGGAAAGAGGCAAGAGAAGAAGAGCTGAAATTGCATAAGAATACACCATGAATACAAGGTAGCTCAAACCCTTGGATACTGCTGCTTTGTAGAGTGTACTCAGCCCTACGTTTGTACATTCCACCATTACCATGGCTGCAAATGGAAGGACTTCACTGTAACAGTATCTCAGCCTCGCCATCTCTCTCTCTCTCTCTGCCCTCGCTCTCTCTCTCTCTCTCTGTAGACCTTCAGACACTTGGCAATGTTTTTAGTCACACCTACAATGTGGAACTGGAAATGATAAGCAGGGGTCGTTGTAACGGCCCCAATTTTCCATAAATTTCAGAAAGTTACGAAAAAATCATTTTCCTTTATCGAAAGTGCAGGATTATAAAAATAAAAAATTTTATTAAACAAATATCTACAACATTTATAAATCTAAATTTAAAATATGAAAATTTTATTTAAACATAACATAAATTCTTAACTAATTCAAATAACAGGTTTGGAACGAAATTTAAACTAATTGATAAATTTAAAGACGGTAAACTCATTTATTTTTCTTTTCATTTGATCCACTTGGCAGCCGCATCATCGTCCTTCTACAATTTCAATCAACCCGAACTGACCTGTAAAAATTTATAAGAGTGAGTATTCGAAAACACTCGGTAAGATACGTGTAGTTTTCATATACATATATATAACAATAAAAATTACAATTCATACCATCTGATCTTATGGAGTATATCGGTGATCAAGCGACACACCCATCTTAAATCCTCTTATAATCCCGTAGGATTACATATCTCTTAAAAAAAACGAATGTCTACTAGCAATCCATGCATTTTTTATTAGACATAAATGCATAAGAAAATAAAAACATTTGCACTTAAAGTATCTTACCTTATTAGAAAAATTCGAAACACGTTCAAAATCGAAAAATACTTGATTAAAATATTCAGTGTATGCAAACTTTATTTCCAATGTTACATTCTCTCTCTCTTTCTTTCTTCTCTCTCTTCCTTTCTCTTTACCTACCGTATGTGTGAATTGATGTGAGTAAAACTTTTCATCATGCCTATATATATTAGATAAACCAAAATTTGATTTGATAGGGCCAAATCTTGCAATCGATGTCTACTCATAATGTACTTTATTATTATCTTATTCAACAACAAGATATCCACTGTTTCTATCCAACCGTATATGAGTGTATAGTGAATTTTGTTGTAACTAGAATAGTAGAATAGTGAAAACATGTGTCATCCTAGGAATCTCTAAATCAAAACTAACAAATAATGATAAAAATCTCACCTCACACGTTTTCTTTTTTGAGAGAGAAAAATAAATTGATTTATAATCTATATAAAATTATATTTATACCATTTTCTTTCAATTGGGTCTAACTTAATGTGTCATTATCCAAAATAACTTTTTCTCGAGTCAAAGACTTCTAATTAATTACGAGCTATCTAACGAGTACAATATTGATATACTTATAATTGCTTTATTAAAATCTAATTTATTTGACCCAAATAAAATAGGAATTTATATAATATACAAAATAAATAAATTTTTATCTATAAAATTTTTGGGTTGCTACAATCTACCCTACTTAAGAAAATTTCGTCCTCGAAATTTACTGGCATTAGGATCTTCCATGGCCTGCCCTTGGGCTAAAGTAAAAACTCTGGCATTTCCTTTACTTTCTGGCTCATCATTCTTCTTCGAAAGATCCTCTTTGCAGTTTTTGAAAATATGCCCGATTTTACCGCATCTATAGCACACATGCTTCTCATACAGACATTCACCCCTATGCATTTTCTTGCACTTTGGATAAGGTGAAACGACTTGTCCAAAACTTGGTCCAAAGTTAGCTTTCTTGTTCGGTCCTTCTCCTTTCTCTTCATTGGACCCATTCCATTTCCTCTTTCCTGAAGATTCGGCCCCTTGTTGAGGAGTTTGGTCAATTTCCAACTTATTTGAGATTGTTTAGGCAGTCTGCAATACTCGAGTATAGGTGGTGAATTGGTGGGATGCTAGTATTCCACCAATCTCAAGATGCAATCCCAGTTCAAACCTCCTTGCTTTCTTTGCTTCAGTGTCCATTAGGTGTGGTGCATACCTTGATAGTTGTTCGAATTTTCTCTCATAATCCTTAATCTTCATTTTTTTTGTTTAAGTTGAAGGAATTCTCTCTCCTTTTGATCTCTCATAGCTTGGGGAAAGTATTTTCCAATTACTCCGTCCTTAAATTGTGTCCACGTCACAGCACGTTGTTGTGCTTCTGTTCTAGTGCAAGACGCTGACTCCTACCAATGGCCTACAGTGTCAACCGACATGAATTCTACGCATAACACCTTTTGAGCATCAGTACAAGATAGATGTTTGAAGATTC